TGCTGTCAAGTTGATTCTGACTCATAGCGACCTTATAGGACAAAGCAGAACTGCCCCATAGGGTTTCCAAGGAGTGGCTCGTGGATTCAAACTGCTGACCTTTTGGTTAGCATCCAGATGCTTAACCACTGTGCCACCAAGACTCCCATAACCACAGTACAGCTGTTAAAATCAGGATATTAAAACACTGATGGAGTAGTACCATCTAATCCTCAGACCCCCCGTTCAAGCTTTGCCAGTTGTCCCAATAATTTTTTATTTACTAAAAGGATTTAGTTCACAGGATGCATTACAGTTAGTGATTAAGTCTGTTTAGTCTCCTTCTATCTGGAATACTTCCTCAGCATTTTCTTGACTTGATGACCTTGACACATTGGAAGATTCAAGTCAGTTATTTTGTAAAATGTCCCTCAATTTGGGTTTTTCTGACATATCTTGATGATTAGATTCAAGTCTGCATCATTGGTAGAAATATCACAGAAGTAATGTGTTCTTTTTGTTGCATCCTATCAGGTGGCACATGATTTTCAGTTGTCCCGTTACTGATGATATTCACTTTGATCACTTTGTTAAGCCAGGCTTCTCACTGTAAAATTACTCTTTTTTTTCTCCTTTGTAATTAATAAAGCATTATATGGTGAGGATCTTTGAAACCGGTTAATATACTGTTCCTCATCAAACTTTCAATTTATTCATTTATTTATTACTGTGGACTCATTGGTGTCCTGTTTTATTTAGTGAGTTATAATCTGTTACTGGGTTTCCTGGGTGATGCAGACGGTTAAACACTTGACTACTAGCCAAAAGGTTGGCAGTCCGAACCCACCCAAAGGCACTTCAGAAGACAGGCCTGGTGGCCTACTTCCAAAAGATCACAGCCTTGAAAACCCTATGAAATAGTTCTGCTCTGCACACATGAGGTTGCCATGAGTCAGCATTAACTCAATGGCAGCTAACAACAGTGATCTGTTACTCTCATTATTTATTTTTTCTTTTAACTTTTTACTTTGACATAATTCCAACTTACAGAAAAGTTGCAAGAATGATTCAAAGAATTCTCTTACACCTTTCATTCAGATTCCTCAAATGCTAACACTTTACTACGTATGCTTTATCCTTTGATCCTTCTCTCTCTGCCTCTCCTTTTTTCTCCCACTTCTCTCTTTTTATTTATATATATATGCACATATATATACACCCACATATGTACGTATATATGTGTATGCATATTCCATACATACATATATAAATTTAAAAAAAACACTTGGGATCCTGTTATAAACATGATGTTGTTGTTAGGTGCCATCGAGTCAGTT